CCCTCCGGAATGTCTTCTTTGCTGATCGACCAATTAGACGGATTTGCTGCAAAGCGTTTATGACACTTCAATATCTCCTATTAGTGCTTTTGTTTTTGATTGCATTTTGAAATTTCGCGACAATAACTCCATAAGTATATTGCATTTTTATTGCTTGATAAGTTTTCCTTTATAGTAATCCATTATAGTTAATCAAATAAAGACACGTGGGCTATGATTTACAAATGACGTAAGATCGTGATATTCTTTGCAGGCAGACAGACGTTAAACATTTGCTTTTTATATGAACGAAGATAGACGAATTCGACATACCTTTTATAATGCCGGATACAATGACAAGAATAACCGTGGCTAAATTGACGATGGTGAATATGTTGTTTAAAATGCTTGATTCTTTAACGCCGAATGCGAGCAAAATTGCCAGCAGCGCAACGATAGCAAATGAAAAGAAGTCTGGATATGGTGCTAAAAAGTCCACATTCATCGGAAGCAAATTTTGGAAGAATGTAGACATCAATGCATCGAGATAAACACTCAGACCGCGGGCAGCGCTTGATGCTCCTTTACGAGGATATGGAGATCAAGAAGAAATTAAGGATGAATAACATTTGAAAAAATCAAACAATGCTTAAACATAAAATTTACCAATTATATATTCGAGAATTAAATTCCACCCAATTGTGAATGCCAAAAATTCGCCTACAGTTAAATAAGTGTAAATGTACACCGAACCAGCCTTGGGTACACGTGAAGCAAACTCTGCATAACAAATAGCCGAAATACCGGCTGCAATGGCAGCAATTAAAAATGAAATGGTTACGGCTGGTCCGGCTGCATCGTAAGCATCTGAACTGGCCAAAACGTATACACCCAAGCTCAATGTACTGCCCACACCGAGCGCCGTCAAATCAAATAAAGTCAACACTCTGGCCAACTGTGTTTCGTCAACTTTATTGTAGTCCACATATGTACGTCGTTTTAACGTTTGCCATCCATTCCGTTGATGCTCTGTTCAATCGCGTCTAATACAAGGGAAGGTATGTGCCGTTTTTGAGTAAAACGTCTTTTTTGCACCTCAACTAAAATCGATTAAAATTAAAATGAAATTTTACAAAAATTTGTAAGCTGTGCTTACCGTTTGAATATTCCGTTCAACATGAATGTCATGAGATTTAAGAGCAAAAATAGCGTGCAATTCACTTTATTGCACTAACAATAATGTAGCGATTGAGCCGAGTGCAACTATTTAAGTGATCAACTTGCTGTTATCGTTATTATTGCAAATGAACCAATTGAACACGGATTTTATTTTAAACATATTTCGAGTGAGTCAATCTTTTTTTTCTGCGCATTTGTTTGAGATAGAGAAAAAAAAACTCACTCAGCAACATTGTATTTGCCATTTGGTTGTCGAAAAATTACGCTCGTACAAATTTATAGAGCAGTATAGCGAATGTGCGGCTCAAATATAATCCACCGTACGCGTGTTTGTTTATTTTGAGTGCTTTTCGTGCAGTGAATTCGTTTTTTATTTTACTGTACAATGTAATTAGGATGAGACAGAAAAGCAAACATAGCGTTAGTTTTATTTTTTTGTTTTAAAGTCAAAACGGATTGCTTTGAAGGAATGCCGACTTTGTTGAGATGCCAATAAATCAACATTCTATTCCATACGATCAATGATCATTCATCATATTACCACAAACGTTGTGCAAACAAATCAAATCGTGACCTCCCGCAATACAAATTTCTGCTATCATGATACCGCAAACCCATCTAATTTCATAATCGAAATAAAAATAAGACATTTCGTTTCTCATCATGTAATTAAGATTTTATTAAGTTTTTATTCCAATTTTCATGATGTATTTCATTTTTATTATAACAAATAAAAACGAAATCCATTTTTTTAACAACCCTATAAAACCATCATAATAATGATTACCAAAAAAAATTCTCTCTATACAAAGTCAAAAAGTCAAAGATCCTGTGTGTCATTTATTCAATGATGGCTCAAATTTACATTGCTTCCGGCGGAGAATTCAATGTTTGCATTGTGCAAGTCGTCGATGGATTGCATTGTATGAGCTTCAACTGCAAATCGCCCATGGCCATTGCTATCAAGTATTTGTTTGCCATTTTGACTTTCAAATTCATTGCTAGATTCGAATTTTTTGCGATAGCCTTCAATCGAATGTCGTATCCCATATGAGAAGTAAATTAAATAACCAATTATGAGCCAAATACCAAATCGAATCCACGTATGGACATCAAGTTGGAACATAAGATACAAGTTCATAAAAATACTAAGGATTGGTAGAAATGGTACGGCCGGAACTTTAAAACTGGATTTGCTCTCAGATTGTGGTTGACGTGCTATTACAACGAAAAATACCAACAGCAACACTCCAATCCCAATCAGAATTATTTCTAACGCCAAATTATGCTCCCAATCCATACCGAAGAACAAGCAAAATATCGCAGTAAACACGGAAAACAGAACAATCGTCATCTGTGTTATGCTTGATGACAATTTATCCGGATTCTTGATGAAGTTCAAATTGAATAGTTGCCACCAGAGGGTTGACCGTATAAACGATGGTTCGTTCGTATACGATGCAACATCGTCTTGATATCGCAACACCAAAATACAAATCGCAACCAATGTATATGCCATTAGTGTTCCAATTGACATCATGTCGATGAGTTGATGTAAATCAAAGACCATTGACATCACAGCAGCTAAAGCACCCGCCAATAGTGTTGCATTCAATGGCGTCTTTGTACGTGTATTCACACGTTTAAATATACCATACAACAAACCATCCGAAGACATTGCGTACAAAATTCGAGGCAACGGAAACATACTACCCAATAAATTTGTACACAGAGCGAACACAGCACCAATTGATACAATCCTGTCGTCCGATAAAATGAATGATTAGCAACAATTTCATGATTAATGTGAAAAAAAAAACTGCCAAAATGCCTTTGAAAATATTGAACAGAAAAAAAATACCATTTAATCTCATTCCATCCGATTTGTTCATAAACATGTGATAAGGGTGTATCAGGGTTCTGGAAAACATGGATATTTTTCAAGTTCAATTGATTGAAATCAAAAGCGATACAATATACATTCCAACGTGTAGAAATACATGTTCATCACACCTGTGCATAATACGGCCACATCATGGTGAGAACGGTTGCGATGC